GGCATAGACATGTGGCTGGGGTGAGTTTTAAGCCACCGGATCTGGGACTCGAACCACGGTCAACTACGTTGGAGTCTAGTGATGTAGCCGTTAGGCCATCTCCTGGTCCTATCCTGCGTGTGCTCAGGATCCTGAGAAGAGAATGGAGGAGAAGGGACTGAGGCATGGCCATTCCCCCTGGGGGGTGATTTATCACTTTCTGTCTCTCTGTCTCTGTCTTTCTGGAGAGCACACGCGTCCTATAGCAAAACCTTCTCAAAAAAATTGTTATTTAATTTTATTAATTCACTCATTTCTTTTAATTTGACAAAGAGAGACAGAGAGAAAGAGGGAAAGTGAGAAAGCAAGCCGCTAGGTCCAGGACTCAAACTGCTGTAGGTCATGTGAGAGAGTCCAGTGTCCCTAACCACCACACCACCTGCCGGCCCCCCTAAATGTTAAGTTTAAAAAAATAAAAATAGAGAGGGGCTGACAGGTGTATGGCGGTCAAGACACTGGACTCCTACAGTTCAAGTCCTGGACCTGGTGGCTTGCTTTCTCTCCCTCTCTGCACGCCCTGCAGCAAATTAAAAAATAATAATTAATAAAATGAAATAATTCTGAAAACTAAAACAGCTATGCCATGGTGGGCGCGGGGTCGGACTCAGGGGCACGGGGAGGCAGGGTGCCCCAGGTGAGTCATAGCACTCTGTGGCCACAGGGTCTGCCCTCTGGCCAGGAGAGACCAGGTGGGCCGAGGTGGCCAGGCTGGATCTGGAGGAAGCAGGAGTCCCGCCCTTCTGGGCCTGGCGCTGTGTCCACCTCAATCTTCCCACCCGTCAAACTGGGAGGGCTGTCTGAGGCCCTGAGGGCTGGCGGCCGGGGGCTCTGGAGTGAGCCTGTGAGAACCCTGGCCTTGAGGCTGAGACCTTCCTTCCGAAGGCTGGTGGCCCCGCCTCCTAGTGGCCTTGCTTCCCTGTCCCCTAGGCAGGACATGCCAGTGCTTGGAGAGCGAGCCTGGGTGCCTCTAACCCACTGCTAGGGAGGGCGGCTGGGTGCACAGTGGGTGCTCAATGAAGAGTCATCTTGTTCTACTCCTGCTGCAAAGGTGGGGAGCCAGGCAGGGCCACTGCCCCAGAGGCGGGAAGGCAGGACACACACCTGGCTCCCGGCCAGCACTACCTGAATGCCATGCTCCTCACCTGCCTCAGCCCTGAGCCCAGCTCACCTGGGCCAGGCCTGGCCCTCCCAGGGCTGGCTTACATCTTGCTTCCTCCCACTCGCTGCCAGTCACCCAGGGTGGCCATGGCAGAGGCTGGTACCTGGGCACTGTCCTGCGGCCAGGGACCTGCCTGGCTGGAGCTGAAGTGACCCCCTCCAACCACCTTCCGCTCCCCACACCAGGCGGCTGTCTCATCTCAGAGTCCGCGCGGGGCCCAGGAGGCGGAGGGGGCCCAAAGACACAGGGCCAGGCGCAGACGCCACTTCCAAGTTCCAGGAGGCCAAGGTCCCAGGCCCAGCGGGGACAAGGACCCGGGCAGATAAGGGGTCCCTCCCGTCCAGGCCTTGCGCAACCCCGCGGCCACGCCCACCCCGGGCGAGGGCAGGAGGGCCTCGACCCCCTCTCTGCAGCTGTCCCGGCCAGCAGCTGGGGCAGGGAGGGGCGCACCCGGCTGCTGGGCTCCGGGCGGTGACC